TAATTCAAGTAAGGTGACCCGCTGTTGTGGGGAGATGTGGCTCAAATATTATTTCATATTGTTAAGTGGAGATAAACTAATTAACTCTCTCACTCCAATTATACTCTCTGCCAACCTCTTCCATTGGGCAGAAGATACAGAAGTTTGAAAACACGTAATTACAGATTTAAGAACAGCTTCTTCCCCGCTGTTATCAGGCTTATGAATGGACCTCTCATATATTAGAGCTGATCTTTCTCTGCACCTTCTCTGCTGCTGTAACACGACATTCTGCATTCTGTTCTATTACACTGATGTACTTATAAAAAGTACGATTTGTCTGTTTAGTACTCAATACAATACTTTTCATTGTATCTTGGCTCATGTGGCAATAATAAATCAAATCAAATCAAATAAACTAAGTGAGTCTGACTTTTTTGGTTGGCCTATGTGATCACTTATTGTGAATTAAAGCCACTTAATGATTCATGCCTGTCCTGATCTCATCAATGCTTTTTTTTCAGCACACGTTTAGATAACAAAGAAGCAAATATGTGAAATACACGAATATTCAGACCATAAGGATACCATTGTTGCACCCCAGTTGCATCTACTACATTCATGGAGAGAAATCAGAGTTAATGTTTTGGGTTGAGTGACCCTTCCTCAGACCTCAACCCAAAATGTTAACTCTGATATCTCTCCACAGATGATGCCAGACCTACTGAGCTTTTCCAGCAATTTCTGTTTTTCTTTCTGATTTATAGCATCCACAGCTTTTTTCGGTTCTCATCTATTGCATTGTTGAATGGTCAGCAATACGAACAACACCCTTCAATGTGAGGGAACTACAACCAATATAACCTAAAGAATATCTAAGGCACTATCTTAAACTTGTAGCAGCGACACACATTCCTACAGCCTAACTCCATAATAATATCACTCAGATCACATAGCCGTTGTATGACATGCACTTAGGAGATTCAAAGTTTAAGATACAAAGTTCAACATTCTTGAAAGATTACATAATGGTAACAGTTGTGAAAATAACAAATATCTTTGGTTGCAAAGTTGGTGAAACACCCTATTAGCTTGCTTTGTCCAAGTGTCAACTTTACACTCTGTCACATCTCCTTTTATCACTGTAAAGCCAATGAATTATCATTTCTCAAAACTGCACATGAGTCTACAAAGTCATTACTACCCAAGTCATCATCAAACAATTTTGCTTTGGTAATGAACTTGTCATGATTGACCCTTGCATTGTAGGCACTGAGATTACTGAATCACGTACACAATGCTGGATCTATATGCTCATATTTAGAATAGTGCTTTCTCTTTGAAGCCTGACTACTTTGTTCAACTGCCAGTCATTTCCCTTTCAACTATAAACATCACTTACAGTTGATCTTTTGGTTTCAGTTCTATGCTTCTCACTAATTTTACATGTAGTAACCTTTTGTATTGCCTCAGGATGTTCCCGTTTGAACAGGTAAATGTACTGTTTGACAGCAGCTGTCAAATTAATATTTCCCCATTTTGGTGGGTTCTGAGGGCATATTTCTACAGGTGTATGACACGTTTGCTTCGCAATTCTCCTCCTTATTAGCATTTGTCCATAGTACCCCATTTTATTAAAGAAAATTCCATTCTTTCCAGGCAACTCACCAAAGTTATGGCTTCTGTTTCTGTTTCAAAATGATCACACTTTTCAACTTAAAATGTTTGAGCTTCATCGAGTGTATTCTTCTTACAGCATTTGACTGCAGTACAGCCACAAATGTAGCATTTTGGATGTACATCTGCATCACAATTAATTCTTCGCTCCTGACAAAAAGAAGAACAAAATAACATTCACCTGTCATTAAAAGAAACCTTCTATATCAATATAACTATTCCAATCATTCCATTCCACACCTGATTTCTGACTTGTGCTTTGTGGCCGGGCTTTGGGGAGTCAGGAGGTGAGCTATTCACTGCAGGATTCATTGCCTCTGACCTGCTCTTGTTGCCACAGTAGTCCAGTTCAGCTTCTGGTCAATGGTAACACCCAGGATGGTATCAGTGGGGTAATCTTGTGATGGTGGTGCCACTTTATGTCAAAGACAATGGTTATATTATCTCTTGGTGGAGATGCTCATTGTGTGACACTTGTGCGGCAGGAATGTTGCTTGCCACTGGTCAGCCCAAACCTGAATATTGTCCAGGTCTTGCTGCATTGTCATCACTGTCATCTACAGACATCGTCGACCATTACAGTTCTTGGCTCACTCAGTAAGAACATTCATGTCTGGAAAAGGAAGGGGCCGGGTGCTGATTCTTGATGCAATTCAACACAATCATCAATGCTGGTAAGTAAGCAGGTATCAGTACCTGTTAAAAGGTCAAATAAATGGGCAGGGTTAGTGGCCAAAAGAAAATCCAGCTGTAAGAAATGACAAATCCAAATAATGGATGACCTCAACTTTGTGAAGGTGGCAAATGGAGACCCATTAGGTGAGCTTTGGAATAGTCTCACACTGGGCTGACAAGTGGAACTATCATTCACAACACATAAGTGACAGGTAAAGAGGATCTTGAGAAAATGAAAGTCAAGCTACGTTTCTATGATCAACGCTGGTACTAGCATTATCATAAACACCATCCAAAACTTGGGTGTCATAATTGTAAAGGAGCTGAACTGGATCAGGTATATCAACATCAAGCCTCGAAGACAAGGGCCAAGGCTCACTCATCTATGATGAAAATCTCAACTCCTGACATCTCAGAACCTCTTCTCCATCTACATGGGTCCAGTCAGGCATGTGATAGCATATTCACTTAGGTTGATGCAGCAGCAAAATCATTCCGAAATCGAAATATTATCTGGAATATAATTCACTTGGCTCCTGCCACTAGCGCTAGCATTCACCCTTCCAAAATCAGTAAATTGAAGCTTTTCTATCCATCACCATCAGGATGCACTGCAATAACTCTCCCATGGTTACTCTAACATCACCTACTCCAGTGCAAACATGAACATTCAGGACAAGAGCTACTTTGTCATGGAAACATCGTGACCTCTAAGTCACACAATGTTTTGGCTGTGTGTAAAATGGTAGCACTTTAACATTGTAGTCAGAAGTCTTATTCCAGGCCTGGAATCTAAAACTGACAGCTTCACTGCAGTAATGAAGGAATACTGCATTGTTGAATGCCCAAACAGTTTCTCTGGGAATGCCAGCTCAGGGCAAATCAATTTGTGGGCCCCCATCCCCTGTAACTCTCCAGTTTTTCCTTCCATTCCGTGAAGATAGGCTTCCAGGTCCACATTTGGTCCCGGTGCGGGTCCTCCCAAAGTGCAGGGTCCAGATTCGCCCACCCAAGCGGGGGAAAGCAAGTAATACTTGCAAATGAATGTACTGGTTGTAATGGATCACTGTTGTGAGGTCTACATGACAAGTCAGACTAGTATGCCTCATTTGCAAGCTTTACTTTGTTTTTTTTCTTTTTGACTGGAAACATTATTTGTTTCCCTCTCCACAGAAACTACTGGACCTGTTGACTTTCTTCAGGACTTTCTGTATTTTTCAGTTTCAGATTTCCAGCATCCATAGTCTTTGCTTTTATTTACAACAGCAGGAATCGCTGGAAAAACTGAGAAGGTCTAGCAGCATCTGTGCACTGAAATCAGAGTTAATGTTTTGGGTCCAGTGACCCTTCTTCAGGACTGATGGTAGGTAGGAAATAGTTTTTTTTATACAGAAGAGATGGTAGTGGGAGGGGGTAAGAAGTAAACAATAGGTGGAGATACAGCTGCTGTCTCCTCTACACTGGGGAAACGAAGCATAGCCTGGGTGACCGCTTCGCAGAACACCTACGTTCTGTCTGTAAAAAAGACCCTGAGCATCCCGTTGCCTGCCACTTCAACACACCACCTTCTTCCCTGACCAACATCTCTGTCTCTGGCTTGCTGCAGTGGTCCAGTGAAGCTCAGTGCAAGCTGGAAGAACAGCACCTCATTTCCTGCTTGGGAACTGTACAGCCTTCTGGAATCTATATTGAATTCAAAAACTTAAGGGCTTGAGCATCTTCTTCCCATGTCTTTACCTCTACCCTCACACACCCGGCCTTGTTATCACAGTCTGCTATTACACACAACTCATTGTTAGCCACTAATATCAGTCATTCATTCTCCTAAACTGACCATTATCTGCTCCTTTGTTGGTCCAACTGTTATTCTTTTGCTTTGAGCTCTATCTCCACCTTTCGTTTACTCCATACCCACAACCCCCAACCTGTCTTCTGCAGTAAAACCAACTTTTTCCTAGCTACTATCAGTTCTGAAGAAGGGTCACTGGACCTGAAACCTGATTTCTCTCCACAGATGCTGCCAAACCTGCTGAGTTTTTCCAGCTATTTCCATTTTAGTTTCTGATTTCCAGCATTCGCAGTTCTTTCAATTTTTTTTAAACTTTTATTTAGTTCGTTTTAGCTGATGTATTTAAATGAGAAATTTGTGTGCACCATTGCAGATCTCCAGATTCGAAATAAAACCTCTGCATTTGACGATACACCGAGACGTTTCTGATTTCGCCAGATGGGTCTCAAACTCAACTTGGTAAGAAAGGCTGAGCTGCAAAGTCTCTGACTTCATTTAAAATTAAAACAAAAGAAAACCGAATACACGCAGCTACCAGGGGAATTGCTGGAAGTGGCAGCAGTTACTTAGCAACGGGATTCTGGAGCTTGAAGTCATAATTCAATCTCTCTCTAAAGAACAGTCAGAAAAAAACGATAAAATTTATTTCATTCACCTGAACTGCAGAATACAGCATCGAGGGGACAGCAGGCTCCTGTAAAACTGTTTCAAAACTCTTTTGAATTGATACACCAAGTGGGAAGCAAAAATAAAATTAACAAAATTCCAAAATATGAAAGTACACGTTTAAATTGTTTTAAAATAGCTTGAGATTTTCTTTTGATTGAGCGTTGGAGCTGGACCAAGATCTCGGTTGCTAAGTAACTACAGACGCTTCCTTCTGAAGTGTTTGGATTGCGGGCTGTGTTTGGCTTGGTTTTAATTTTAAACCACGTTACAGACCCGACTGCTCGAGTTGGCGGAATGAAGGTGAGTATCGCTTGGAACCCACGTACATATTCAGTGTGTGTTTTATGGAGATAAACCGGCGGAAAGTGGAGACTGGCAGCGGAGGCTGTTGTTGTGGCCTGGTCTGGACTGGCCTCTCCTACAAAGTGATCTCCCTGAGCCTCAGCCCCGCAGTACTAAGGCCCCCCAAACCAACCATCTGACCTTACCAACCAATACCCTAACCTCAAAAGTAACACCTCATTTATCACTCCCTGATCCCAACATAGATAGTCAAGTCCCAAAAGTAACAACAAATACCAATACTTAACACCCTGAGACGAAAATCCCAGCTTCAGCACTAACATCTAAATATTAACAATCAGACCCTAGCACCCTAATACTTTGCCCAAAAGTAACACACAGTGGAGGCGATAGGTCGAGTGGCTTTATCACTAGAGTATCAATCCAGAGATGCAGGTAATGTTCTGGGGTCCCTTTTTTTTAATACTGTCGTGGAAAAATCTGCATTTAAGTGTCTACTGATGACCATGAAACCATGTGGATTGTCAGGAAAAACCTATCTAGTGTCCTTTAGGAAAGGAAATCTGTTAGCTTTATCAGGTCTGGCTTTCATGTTACTTCAGATCCACAGCAATGTGGTGGACTGTTAACTGCTCTCTGGGCAATTAGGGGTGGACAGTAAATGCTGACCTAGACAGTAACACTCACATCCTGTGAATGAAAAAAAAATTCACACACTAATACTTGACCCCAACAGTAGCAATCTAACTCCAAATTAACATCTGAATAGAAACATCTTAATATGAGCATTCCTATCACAACACTTACACCCAATAATAACAAACTAACCCAACACATACACTCCATCAATAACACCCTAATTCCAACACTAAGCAGTGTCTTCATTAACAAAGAAAGCCAGTTCTTGCATGTGTAGAGTGATCTGTTGCATACCTTCAGCATATCTGTGGAGCCCAATTACAGTTTTGCATTGCTTTCCATATAATGGGCAAGGATAAGTTATCTGATTTTGTCGGTATTGTCTTGTCCTTTTAACATGCTTATTGTTGTTTGCTGCATGCATTCTTTGCCGTCTGAAACAATGCCATGACTAGAGATTGCTCCCCAGGTAGATTTTTTTTATTGTAAATCCTTCTCGAGACTGAGTCATGCTTCATTTCTTGAAATTTGCAATCAAGGAGTTATTGAATCTTACTGTAAGCCTACCTTGTAGAGGGTGTCCCATTTTAAGTTGTGAATATTAGAGATTTTATTGTCAATTATATGTGCTACGTGTTCACTCAATTTGAGCTGCAACCTGATGATTAACACTTAATTTCCAGACATTTCTATTCTTCTGGTGCTTTCTTTTTCCATTTAATGCCCAAGATGTTTCAAGTGCAACTTATGTGGAACCGGTCCAAATGCTTAATATGTCTGGAGGAGGTGATCCATGTCTCAATGGCATATAGAAGGGTGGGTATTACCGCATCTTTGTACACAGCAAGTTTTGTGGTAGTTTTGATACCTTGGGTAGAATCCTATAGAGGTCTCTGCAATGTGGACTATGGTGAGACCTGTGGCAAAATCGGATTAGAAATATAGGAAGGCTTATCTCAACGTCAGGGGCCTCTCACTCTATCTTTTACGCTTTTGACACTCTTGGAAGTTTCTTGTGAAGCACCAGTGACTTACAAATTAAGGGAGCTTACTGCTTGTTAAACACCCTGTTAATGGCTCAACTTGCCTCACTGGCCTTCTGAGGAAGGGTCACCAGACCCGAAACGTTAACTCGGTTTTTTCCTTCACAGATGCTGCCAGTTCTGCTGAACTTTTCCAGCAATTTCTGTTTTGTTTCCTGATTTACAGCATCCGCAATTCTTTCATTTTTTTATTTAGTATTTGCCTCACTGGCTGCTTTGACCCGGATGGGGTCAAGCGTTTTGAGTGATCTTGGAGCTGTGTTCATCCAGGCAAGTGGGGAATGTTCCATAACACAGGGCAAATGTCAGTAACCATGCGAGGCAGCTCACAACTGACAGTGCTTGTCCAGTACACAACAAGCCTTGAGAGCTGGCATGGGTACAGTGAATTCTGGGATATCAACTGACTGGTGAGTTGTTCTGGGAATATTGTGCTGTAAGATGGAACCGGAATTGAACACGAGGAATGTCACAGGGCATGGTAAGTAATGAATGAAGCAAATTTGGTAAGCTATGGCGAGATACCTCACTAGACATTGTGGCACAATCCCTCCAAAAATCAAGATGCATTGGAAGTTAGCTGCGATAATGTAAAATTCAATTCTTCCTTTCCTCCTCAGTCTCTCAGGTAAATGGGCAAATGATGATCTTACTCTGAATCACAGGGACACTACTTCACATCAATTGTTATGTCAGAGGGGTAAGTACATTCACTACTATCAGTGACTCTGGCTGCTTCAGCCAGAGAAACTTCTTCAGCCAGAGAGTGGTGAATCTATGGAATTCACTGCCACAGAAGGCTGTGGAGGCCAGGTCATTGAGTATATTTAAGACAGAGACAGATAGGTTCTGTCAAGGGGATCAAGGGTTACGGGGAGAAAGTGGGAGAATAGGGTTGAGAAACTTATCAGCCATGATTGAATGGCGGAGCAGACTCGATGGGCTGAATGGCCTAATTCTGCTCCTATGTCTTATGATCTTATGGACTCTGGCTCTTCTGTCCCATTGTGAAATGGATGCAGATTTGCAGCTCTATCCATATTTGGCTAAGACTTCCACAAGGTCTCTCTACTTACTGCGTTAAAGGCCTTCATCAAGTCAACAGAGACTCGGTAGAGTCCTGTCTGTTGTTCTCGGCAATTCTGATGTATTTGCTAAAGGTTGAAGATCATGTCATTAATGTCTCTGAATTTCCTGAACCCTCTTTGACTTCTTGGCTATGATGTTCTATTATGTGGCTTACCAAACCACTAGAACATTTGCCAGAAACTTAGCAGCAATCATAAGAATTGAGATTCCTCTTACACACAGATTTTCCTTTGTTTGAGTTAATACCTGAGGCATCCGTGAGCTCGTAAAGAATATTTTGTTAATCTCACATTCTGTGATAAAGTTGAATGCATTTGATGATGCTGAGGTCCCCTAAATTGGTTCATTCCTCCTGGAATCTTGTCTGAACCCAGAACATCAGAATCTAATGGCTTTGTCAACGTCGTCTATAGTGGGTGCGCTGTCCAGGCTTTCAGATTTGGACCGGTGTGTAAGCTTGTCTATAGATACCACATTTATTTTGGATGGGCAGTTAAGCATCCCACACATCATAACACTGACCCATCTCCTAGGGATCACCATTGACGGCTAGTCATTTAAGTAATGGTTACAAGAACAGGTCAGAGGCTAGGAATCCTGCAGCAAGTAACTCACCTCCTAACTCCAAAAGCCTGTCCACCATCTACAAGCACAAGTCAGGACTGGGATGGAATACTCCCTACTTGCTTGAATAGATGCAGCTCCAAGAACACTCAAGAACCTTGACATCATCCAGGACAAAGCAGCCTGCTTGAATGACTACATTTACAAACATTCATTCTCTCCACCACCAATGCTCAGTATCAGTAGTATGTACCATCTACAAGGTCACTGCAGAAATTCACCAAGGCTGCTTAGGCAGCACCTTCCAAACACTTGACCACTTCCATCTAGAAGGACAAGGGCAGCAGGTACATGAGAACATCATCATCTACAAGGTCCCTCCCAAGTCACACACCAACCTTGCTTGGAAATATTTTGCTGTTCCTTCAATATTGCTGGGTCAATCGTCTGGAACATCACCCCTCCCCCAACTGCATTATGGGTAGACATACAGTACATGGACTACAGCAGTTCAAGAAGGCAACTCGCTGGCACCTTCTCAAAGGCAACTAGGGAAGGGCAAGAAATGCTAACCCAGCCAGTGATGCTCACATCCCATGAAGAAATGATTTTTTAAAAACCCTAATGTGAGCACTTAGCAAAACTGGAATCAATGGGTATCAGGAGGCAAGCTCTCCACTGGTTAGAGTCGCATCTGACACAAAAGAAGATGGTTGTGGTTGTTGGAGGTCAGTTATCTCAGCTGCAGGACATTTCTGCAGGTGTTCATCAGGGTAATGTCCTAGGTCTAACCATCTTCAGCTACTTCATCAATGACGTTTCCTCCATCATAAGATCAAAAATGGGGATGTTTGCCGATGATTGCACAATGTTCAGCACCATTCACGACTCCTCAGATACTGAAGCAGTCCATGTTCAAATGCAACAAGATCTGGACAATATCCAGGCTTGAGCTGAAAAGTAGCAAATAACATCCGCGCCACACAAATGCCAGGCTATGACCATCACCAATAAAAGACAATCTAACCACTGCCCCTTGAATTTCAATGCCGTTACCATCACTGAATCCCACAATATTAACATCCTGGGGTCACTATTGACCAGAAACTCAACTGGACTCACCACATAAACACAGTGGCTACAAGAGCAGGTCAGAAGCTAGGAATAGTGCAACAAGTAACTCATTTCCTGATTCCCCAAAGTCTGTCCGCCATCTACACGACACATGTCAGGAATATGATGGAATACTCCCCACTTGTATGGAATGAGTGATGCTCCTACAACACTCAAGAAGCTTGACACCATCCAGGACAAAGCAGCCCGATTGATTAGCACTACATCCACAAGCATCCACTCCCTCCACCACCAACACTCAGTAGCAGCAGTGTGTACTATCTACAAAGTGCACTTAAGAAATTCACCAACGATCTTTTGACAGCACCTTCCAAACCCATGATGACTTCCATGTAAAAGGACAAGGGCAGCAGATATATGGGAACACCACCACCTTCAGGTTCCCCTCCAAGTCACTCACTATCCTGACTTGGGAATACATCACCATTCCTTCACTGTCACTGAGTCAAAATCCTGGAATTCCCTCCATAATGACACTGTGAGTTAACCCACAGCAGGTGGACTGTAGCAGTTCAAGAAGGCAGCTCACCACTACCTTCTCAGGGGCAGCTAGGGATGGGCAATAAATGCTGGCCAGCCAGCGATGCTCACATCCCACAAATGAATAAAAAAAAGCGTTGAAGCATCGGTGGTGGGATTAGGATAGGATATGTCGCGCACTTAGGGACTGCATAATCACCCACATATTAACACCGTAACAATATCACACCAAGCCCAGCACAGATACTCCAACAGTAACACCATAATCCCAATATTTTAACCCAATACAAACACACTAACTCCAAACCAAATACCCTGTACTAATACCCTGAACATTCTCTCACCCAATTAAATGCACCCTTCGACCAGTACCAAATTTAATTCCACTCTGTGTGTGCCTGTATTTTCTTTTGGCTAGATCAGGCAAAGAAGAATTTAAAATCCCTTGAAGGACTTCTGTGAACCACATGGATTTTTACAACAGTTCAAATATTACATGGTTGCCATTACTGATGGATGCATTTTTCTTTGCAAAGGCCAGATTGATTTATTTATTGAATTTAAACTCTGTCGTAGGATTTGTTTAGATCTCAGGCTCATTAATTCAGTGACATAACCATTATACTACCATTCCCTAATTGGGATACAAATTAAACAGTGTTTCAGTAAGAAGGCAGCTGCCTTGGAAAATCCTGTCCTCATACCCAGTCAGAAAAAAAACAAGGAATTACAATTCCTTTTTCTTCTTCTGAATACTTTTGACACACTAAAGCATGACTTTTGTAAATGTGCATATATGTGTGTACAAGCTGCTAACTTTAAATAGAAAAATAAAATGAATTAGAAACCCATTGGAATGCAAAAAGGATGTGTTTTATTTTTAAAGAGTGAGACAAGATTGCTTCCAGCCCAAAATGTGACTCACACCAAAGAGACAGGGCGACTCACTTAGCAGGTCTGGAGGTTGTCCTCATTATTTGATCACATAAAACTGGCTTGTGGAACTGCGACTTATAACAATCCCTTCTCAATTACATGTTGCAGCTTTCAGTGTGCAAGATGTTCGCAGGAGTTATCTCGAGAGCCGAACATGACAGGCCTGGTTTTCTGTTTGTTGGCCCAGTTGCAATACTGAAAAGAAAGAACTTTCATTTATATATTTCCTGTCATGACCTCAGAAGATCCCAAAGAGATTTACACCCAAGGAAGTACTTTTGAAGTACGGACATTATTGTAATGACAGCAAGGATCCAACTAATTCTGGTCATTAGTAGATAATCAGTGAAAGTGCTGTTGTTTGAGAGATAGCTATTGGCCTGAACATAGGGGATGCTTCCTCTGCTGTTCTTCCAAATAGTGTCACAGGATTTCTTTGGAACCCAAGAGAGAGGATGGAACTAAACACTTCAACTGAGAAATAGCATTTCCAGTTGTGTTGTACAAACTTATACTGCACTGAGTTGCCAGCGTAGATGATGTGGTCAAGTCCCAGGAGCAGGACTTCAGTTCACAACTGTCTGGCAGAGACAAAAGTACTGCCACCAAACACCTGACCACCAAACATTTTTCTTTAAAGCTAGGAGAGACTGAAAAAGGTTTGGGAGTTGAGTCTAAATAAGAAAGGCAAGAAAATTCTAAAGTCACCGTACCCCTACCAGATCATTGGGCTGCGCTCTCATTAGAGACAGAGGCAACTGGCAGTGGTTTAACCTGGGAGTCACTACGATTTAGATGAGGGAGAAGTTGAGAAGGAGAGTCCTTCCTGATAACCTCAGCCGGTGCATGAATTGAACCTATACTGTGGGTGTCACTGTACATTGCATACTGACTGTCCAGCCAACTGAGCCAACTGACCAAAGAAAGATAGAAAAGACCCAAAAATTAACAATAATAAATCAAGGAGTTCTAATTGTGATGAGTTGAACAGAAGTTTACTCAAAGTGTTATCATTTTACAAACAAATATGTAGTACCAAAAACAAGCTGATCTCTGACCATTTAAATCCATGGGATCTCTGGAAGGTTGGACACTGGATGTATCCTGGTTAAGTCTCCCTCCACCCAACTCTCAGGCAGTACATTCCAGATCCTAACCATTTGCTGCATAAAAAAGTATCTCTTCATCTCTATATTCTATTTCTCGGCAATCAGCAAAAATCACTGTCTACCTACGCACATTGCCCAAACTCCACATAACTTTGAACACCTTTATCAAACCTCTGACCATTCTCTTCTCCAAGGAGAGCTGACCCAGCTTCTCCAATCTGTCCATCCAACTGAAATTCCTCTTCCTTGGAGCCATTCGTATGAATCTTCCTTGCATTATCTCCAAAGCATCCTTGTTAAAGGCATGGCAACCAGAATTGGACACTGTATTCCAGTTGAGGCTAAACAAGTGTCTTACATTAGTTTATCATTACTTTGTTGCTTTTGAACTCTATGTCTCTATTTATAAAGCCCAGCTTCCCCTCACTTTATTAACCACCTTGTGAAACTGTCCTGCCAACCTCAACGATTTGTCGATAAATACCCCCGAGTCCCTCTGCTCTTGCACCAACTTTAGAGTTGTAACATTATTTTGTATTGCCTCTCCTTGTTCTTTTCAACCTAAAATACTCACTTCACACTTGTCTATCCATTCCACCAACCTCCTCTGGGACATAGGGGTCTCCTTGGATTGCTCTCGGAGGACTGTGTTTACAGTTTTTGTCTCCTTACTTAAGGAAGGATGTACTTGCATTGAAAGCTGTCTAGTGAAGAATCAACACATTAATTGCTGAGATGAACGGGTTGGAGTTTACAAGAATGAGATTTGATCTCATAAAAACATATACAATTTTGAGGGGGCTTGACGGGGTAAATGCTGAGAAGATGATTGCGCACATGGGACAATCTAGAACCAGAGAGCACAGTTTTAAAATAAGCAATTTTATGACAGAGGTGAGGAGGGATTTCATTTCTTAGAGAATCATTGGCCTTTGGAATTCTTTTGCCCAGAGAACAGTGGAGGCTGCCTTATTGAATGTGGTTAAGGCTGAGTTTGAGAAATGTTTGATTGTCAAAGGAGTCACGCATTTCAGGGATAGGCAGAAAAGTGTGCAAGGCTAAAATTGGACTGGCCATGATCTTAGTGAATGGCAGACCAAGTTTATTTCAGCCTCTATTTCTTATGATCTTAAGGTATCCTTTTGAAGTTTTGGACTATAATCCTCAGAGTTAGCTACATTCTCAGTTTTGTGGCATCTGCAAGTTTTGCAATTGTGCCCTGTATAACCCAAATCTAAATCACTGGTATATGTCAAAAAAAGTATTTGTCCTCAGAGTGACCCCTGGGGACCCTTACTACAACCCTTTCTCTGGTCCAGATTTATATAGCACTACAATGTAGTAAAATAACCCAAGCTGTTTCATAGGAAAAGATGAACAGTAAGCAACCAGATCAAGAAATGATTTGGAGGCAGTTGAGGAAATTCAGAATTTGAATTCTGTTTGACTTCTCAAAAGAAGAAGCGGATGGAGGTATCAGTAAAAGATACCACGAAGATACCATTGTTGTAAAAGCCCAACTGATTCACTTTGGGAAGGAAATCAGCCACCCTTTCCTAGTCAGCTGAATATGTGACTCCAGTCTCACAACAATGAAATTGGCTGTTATTTTCCTCTGAAGTGGCCCATCAAACCTTTAGTCAAGAGAACTAAGGATGGGCAATCAATATTGGCCTTTCCTGTGACGCCCACATGTCAAGGATGAATTTAGGAAAAGTGACTTGAGTTTATAACGTAAATAATGCATCTTCAATTTTTGTTTCATATTAGATGAACTATTTGGAAACACAAATTCCTTGAAATTAATGGCTGAAGTGACAGTTCTCTTTCCATTATGGAATTAAATGCTTCATTTTCCAAATCATTGACTACACCATTGGTGCCAGGTACAAGTACCAAAATACAGAAACACAAGGTATGTCTTGTAACTCTCACTATGGGTGTTCATGTAAAATACACACATTATTATCATGTTCCTGCTCTCCATGAGACATAATGCAGGCCAAAACCTGTGTGAGACAATTGTCTCAGCGCACAGTTTCTTATATTAATTGTGGTTTATTTCACTTTGAATAAAATCATGTAAGGGAATTGCACTTTAGAAATTGACATACTTTAGAAGGCACTGAGGCCTATTTGTCATTTATGTTTGGTAAAAGATGCAGCATATAAGTGATGTACTCATTTTGAGATTGCACAGTAACAGCAAGCCTTATTACAGCTGTAACTTTTAATGATGTGGAGCTTTTTTCCCCACAACTGTTTGATGTTCCAAGTCATTGTTTTGAACACTCAACAGCCATTTTATAATGAGTGCTCCAAGAATGCCACAAATTGTAACTGAACTCTTCCTCCTCAGTGACTCTCTCCTTCTATTTAGGCCACCTTCCTTTGATAGATCTCAAAAGTCCAATTCCTCCAAATTTGCATGGTGTGCAAGGCATTTTTCAGACAACAGCCTTTTAATAGATTTTAGACCCCGTTAATGTGGGTCAAATCCCATGTTAACCCTGGCATATCATGTGCTAAGCACCAGAAGCATCTGTCCGTGCGAGATCATCTGGTGGATCCACATTATCAAACATATAACATATGCATAATGTGAAAATTGGAAGGCTATCAATTATCCCTCAGCATCCATGATCCTTTAGGAGAAGAGTGCTTTCTCAATTAATAACTAGTTTACCCAACTATATAAGGAAGTTTGCAAATTTTCCTGTCAATGATGGCTTCTCAGGAAATAGTATGCTAATCACTGCATTCTATGATTAACAGTTGCTGGAATTTTCTCTTTATTGGTCAGAATATTGCAGTTATCTTTCCATATCTGTCTGGATTTTGAATAATCAGAATTTGAAATGTTTTGATAACAAACTTTATCAGCAGTTTTAAGACTATATTATAGAGTCCCTACAATGCATTCAGCCCATTTCGTCTGGCCTTCACAGAGCATCCTGTCCAGACACAACCACCCACTCCACACCATTCCTGTAACCCCACATGGCTGACCCACCTAACTTGCACATCCCTGAACACTACAGGGCAACTTTTAAGCATGGCCAATCTAGCTAGCCTCCACATCTTTGGACTGTAGGAGGAAACCCGTGAAGATTCAGGGAGAACATGAAAATTCCACACAGACAGGCACCCAAGGGTGGAATTGAACCCAGGTCCCTGGTGTTGTGAGGCAGCAATGCTAACAGCTATGCCACTCTGCCATGTCAAAGCAGGGTTGAAACATTGTCATATTCTTTAAATAAATTACTTCTCAATCTTTTGTTTCCCCATTTTGAATTTTATTGCTATTTAGTCTTCAGAAAGCTCAACAAAATAATGAAAAGTATGCATATAAGTAAATATGTAAATGTCTTAAAGTAATATAATATGCTTGTGCTTTATTTATGAGTTTGGTGATTGGGTTGGCTGAGGATGAATGTAAGGCAGGTAAACAGTAGAGAGCTGGACTCCTTAATCAGAAGCTGATTGAGGAAGCAAAGTGTTTATGTGATGTGATTTAACACATAAACACTTTCACTTCTCAATCAGCTCCCCTATCCATCAAGGCAATTTGGTTTTCTGGAGTTTAGCAGGGACAGGCACAATCCTTATTTTAATGAGTTCTCTTAAAATAAACGATAAAATTTGGAAGTGGGGAGGAAGGACAGAGAGCCATGCAACATTAATAGTATACCCCAAAATAAGTGGATAACAATTTGTTGGACATGAGTTACACACTTAAGAGGGCTTCTCAAATAAAAAATAATTAGTTGTTCTTGCATTCTCGTTTCCATTGTACCCTCTAGCATATTTCCACAAAACCAGACACCACAGTGCTCGTTGCTGTAGCTTTGCAAGATCACATTATTAGGAATCTGCGACTCCAAAACCTTTCATTGTCTGATGGTTTTAAAACAAAACCACGGGCTAAAGTGGGTTGCTACAGGCCCATTGACAGAAGCACTGTGAAGCCTGTAGTGGATACAGGAATAAGAAGGAAAGAAGAAAAAAAGAAAAGGAAAGAAGATGAGGAAAAAGAGTATGTTTTGGATCCAAAACCTTCGGGTCTTACTTTAGGTAAATTTATTTAACGTTTCATATTGAAATTCTTGTTGTTTTGCGCTTCCAAATTTGCCGGTGATGTAAATTTGAAATTATGGTTTTGTGGCTTGTGAGAGAAAAGTAAGAATTTGTGGATGAGAAGGATATTCATTAAAAATCTGTTGGCTTTTTGTTTTATGTCATTCTACATAATACAACAAAAAAGGAAGATAAAATAATGGTTTTATAATGGAGAAACTGTTTGGCAGCCATTTTAAGAGTTGGATCTGCCGTTGCTTGCCATTGCTTTTGAAGCAAATTCAGTAGCTTCCACCAGGATAAATTGAAGAACTAGCTTTAAAGTAGTGATTTTTTTGCTAGCCTTTTTTTGATTGTTTGTGATGCAATGAGGAAATAGAACATTGAAAAAAGTCAGCCTTTTCTTGTTGAAAAATAAAACCTGCAATTAAGTTGTAAAATACTCATGTAAGAAAACTCCCACTCAGCACCTCAATATATTCTGCCCTTACCATGTCTTAAAATTCAGCACAACATATGCATGAATGAATGAATTATTTTCTTGTCATGTGTATTTTACAGTGAGAAGAACAGTAAAATACAGTGAAAAGCTTTTGCCCTGTCACCATGATCTGACGCCATTTTGAATAGTTTAAGAATAAGAAGAAAAAATAGAAAGACACAGCTTAAAGATCCGAGGTCTGGATGATTCATATCCCAGGCTGCTGTGGGAGATGAGAGAGGAAATTACAGGGGTTCTGACCCAAATTTTTAATTCATCTCTAGTCAAACAGGTTGTCCGAGAGGACTGGAGGACTGCTAATGTTGTTCCACTTTACAAGAAGAGAGGCAAAGATAAAGCAAGGAGTTGTAGACCAGTAAGTTTTATGTCAGTAGTAGGGAAACCATTGGAGAAAATTCTGAAAGAGAGCATTAATCACCGCTTAGAAAGGTGAGGTTTGATCGGGGATAGTCAGCATGGTTTTGTCAGAGGGAGGTCACGCTTAACAAATTTGAATTTTCCAAGGAGACGACCAGGTGTGTAGATCCGGTTAGTGTAGTTGATATTGTTTATACGGATTTCAGCAAAGCCTTTGACAAGGTGCTACATGGGAAACAGATAAAGAAAGATGAAGCACATGGGATCCAGGGTAACCTGGCAAGTTGGATCCAAAATTGGCTTAGTGGCAGGAGACAGAGGGCGGTAGAAGACTGTGTGTGTGACTGGAGGCCGGTGTCCTGTTGCGTACCACAGGGATCAGTGCTGGGTCTTTTATTGTTTGTGATATATATAAATAATATAGAAGACAAGGTCGGGGGATGATAAGTAAGTTTGCTAAAGAAACAAGGTTTGGCCAGGTAATTGACAGTGAGGAAGAAATTCTTAGGTTACAGGAAGATATAAATGGAATAGTCAGATGGGCAGATCATTGGCAGGTGAAATTTAACCTTAATAAGTGTGAAGTTATGCACTTTTAAAGAAGTAACAAGAAAAGAGAGTTATCAAGGAATGGCAGGACACTAGGAAGCTCAGAGGAACATAGGGATCTTGAGGGTCTTGTCCACAGATCCCTGAAGATGGTAGGACAAGTTAACAGGATAGTTAAGAAGGCACACGAGCATTCGCCTTTACCAGTCATGGTATAAATTAGAAGGGCATACAAGATCATTAAGGGCTTGACAGGGTAGATGTGGAGAGCTTGCTTTCCCTGTAGGACAGTCTAGGACCAAAGCATGTAATCTCAGAATAGGGGGTCACAGAATCGGTCTTTACTGCCCAAAAGCTATTCTAAATCTACACTCGTCCCATTTTCCAGCACTTGGCCCATTTCCTTGAATGTTATAGATATTTCTTCAAGTGTTTGTCCAAATACTTTTTTAAAGTTTGTGAGGTTTCCCACCTTAACTACCCTCCAGTGTTTTCCAGATACCAACCCGGTTGGAAGAATTTGTCTCAAATTCCCTTTAAACCTCCTGCCTTTCACATTAAAATTAGTCGGGTGGTGATGGCCGAATGGTACTGGACTGTTAGTCCAGAGACCCTGATAACATTCTGGGGACCTGGGTTCAAATCCTGCCATGGTAGTTGGTGGAATTTGAATTCAATAAATACCTGGAATTAAGAATCTAATGATGACTGTGAATTGATTGTTGGGGGGAACCCATCTGGTTCACTAATGCCCTTTAGGGAAGGAAATTTCCATCCTTACCTGGTCTGGCCTACGTGTGACTTGAGACACATAGCAATGTGGTTGACTCTTAACTGCCCTATGGGTAATAAATGCTGCCTAACCAGCAATGACCTCATCCCATGAATGAATAAAGGAAAACAAATTAAAATTATGTCTCCTTATTATTGACGTTTCAATTAATGGCAACAGCTGTTCTCTATCCACCCTGTCCATGCCCTTTAAAAACTTATACAGCTCAATCAGGTTCCCTCTCAGCCTTCTCTGCTCTGAAGAAAAAAACTTAAGCTTATTCAGTCTCTCTTCATAGAAAAACTGCTCCATCCAAGTCAGCATCCTGTTGAATCTCCTCTGCACCTCCCCCATGGCAATTGCATCCTTTGTATAGTGCAGTGACCAGAACTGCTCACAGTACATCAGCTGTGACCTAACCAAAGTCCTGTACAGATTGTGATGAATCCATAACATCTAGTTCCAGTAAACTGTCCTGAACACACTCTATGAATTCTTCCTTATGGCTACCTTTGCCAATTTGATTTTCCCAATGCAGATTAAAGTCCCCCACAGTTAAATGTACTGCCGTTCTTACATGCTGTCATTATGTTGTGATTTATTCTCTGTTCCAGGGAACAACTGCTGTTAGTGGGACTATAGATGACCCCTGGCAGTCTCTTCTTTCCCTTGTTATTTCTTAACTCCATCCATATGTATTCTGCATCTTCCCATCCAAGATAATTTCTTAGTATCATACTTATTCCATCTTGTACTAATACAGCTTTCCCTCCCTCTTTGACTATCTTCTTGAAAAGTCACATACCCCTGAATATTTAGGTCTCAACTTTGATTTCCTTGTAAGCCTGTCTTTATAAGATCGTATCCATTAACCTTTATTTGTGCCATTCATTCACTTATTTTGTTCTGAGTATGATGTGCTTTGAAGAAGCATAAATTCTGCCTTTCTATCATTTTCCCTCCTTTGACCCTATTTGATGCTGTTTTCATATATTTCTACACTCCATCATTTCCTCCCCCATTCTGGGTATCATCAAAATAGTTGCCTTGTGATGCCACCATATTGTTTTGTTTTGGAAGGCTACATTTCCCTCTCCCAAACTTCACACACCTCTAATTAATTTAAAGCCCACTTTACAGTCCTAGTTATTTATTTGCCAGGACACTGGTCCTAGCACCATTCCAGTGAAGCCTGTCCAACCAGAACAGCTCTCTTCTTCTCCAAGACTGGTCCCAGTGCCCAAAGAACTGAAATCCATTTTACTTTCTTTGTTCTTTTTTTTAGTCTGAACCAGTTTGCCTGTATCTCAGGCAGTAGTTCTGAGATTATTAGTTTCTGCTAATTGGAGGTTCTGCTTTTTAGATTAATACCGAATTGATCAAAATCTTTTAGAGGACCTCCTTTCCACTCCTATCAGTGTTGTTAGGACCAACCTGGATGATAACCACTGGATCCCTTCCCTCCCTCTCAAGTGTTCTCCAGCCCTAAGGAGATATCCTTAACCCTGGCACCAGGCAGGCAACACAACCTTCGGTACTCCACTCATGGTTGTGGAGAATATTATCTTTCCCCTTAATTTCCACCGCAATTTTCCTATTTCCCATCCCTGTGAATGGCTCCCTGTAGCATGGTGCCGTTAACCTTTATTTCTGCCATTCATTCACTTTGTTGTTCTGAGTACAATCTGCCTTTAAGTAAAGGAGCAAAATTTTGCCGTCCTCCCTGCAATCATGACTCTCATGCATACAGCTTTCAGAACTTGGACAGTTCCTGGGGCTGAGGGTGCTTGAGGGCTCCCTAGGTCCCCATACTTGCCTCAACCACAATCATACCTTCCTATGACCAACGGGGAGTTCCAAACCTCAGTATACAGGAAAGCAACCCACACTGACCAAATCCTCAACTTTCACAGCAATCACCCCAAAGCCCACAAACAAAGCTGTATTAGGACACTATTTAAACGGGCCACCACTCACTGCAACATGCCAGAACTACGCAGGAAAGAGGAAGAGCACCTATACAGAATCTTCGCTATGAACGGATATTCTCGCAATTTCATCCACAGCTGCTACTAAATAGACAACAACAAGAGGACACAGTACACCTAACACACTGGCCACACTGCCCTACATGAAGAACATATCAGAACTGACAACAAGACTCCTACAACCACTAGGAATCATGGTAACACACAAACCCACAGCCACTCTATGACAAACACTCACAAGGATTAAAGACCCCATTCCCAACAACATGCAGAATCAACGTAGTTTATAAAATACCATGCAACGACTGCCACAAACATTACGTCGGACAGACAGGAAGGAAACTAGCCATCAGAATACACGAACACCAGCTAGCAGCAAAACGACACGACGAACTTTCCTTAATATCAGTACACTCGGACAATGAAGGCCATCAGTTTAACTGGGACAATGTAACCATAGTAGCCCAAGCCAAACATAGACACACACACATGGCTCTCAACCCATAATGCAATCAACAAATATATAGACTTGGACCCCATTAACAAACCCATACAGAACAAAACCGGAAATGACACTACTCACCATAACGGAGCAGACAGTATAAATTCCAAGCGGAGTAGAACAACATCGCTTCATCAGAGGCCTCACTGATGATGTTACCTAGCATGGTGATGAAACGTCTGAACGAAAACAAGCCAGCTCAGCGAGTAAGTCAACAACTTCACCCACAATCCGAGCTACAAATCTTTGCTAAAACCTTAAACACATCCTCCTATCCATGATCACAGACTAAGTTTGAATTATCTAATGTAAAGAACTGCCTCCTGGAGCAAAGTGTCCAGGTAAATTTTCCCCTCTTTGATGTGGCTCAAAGTCAGCAGCTCAACTTAGATTCGAACTTTGCTTGAGTTGCAAACAGTTGCTACAGATGTGTTCATTGTGGATCACCATGGCATCCAGGAACTCCCGAACTGCCATCTCTAGTGAATTTCATTTAAGTAATGAATTAAAAAGCAAGGATTTACAATTATAAATGCATATATAGGGCTGGCCTGATCTTGAGAAATATATATTGGAATGGGTTGTCAAAAGACATCAGAACGGTTTCATTATCATCAGAAATGCAATGTGTTTATGCATACTTGAGTAGGCAACCTCAAACCTAAAGTCCAAAAAGATTTCAGAACAACATTTAGTTAGTCTAGGGACAAAATGGTCTACTGGTGCAGCAGAATACAAAAATCGCTTAGAGATTGTTCACCAACTTCAATCCCAAAATTACTAGTTCCCAGTGAGTTATCAAACAGCAGCAAAAATATGAGTATCCATTCTATCACATCAACAACTTGGATGAAACTCCCATGAATTTTGATGTGTCCAGTAAAAGAATGTTACAAAATTGCGGAATATTCAATTCAATGGATGGAGAGGAAGCTGATTTGTTGTGAAGGGATGGTAATGAAATTGAAAGCACTGCATCTGATCCAGAGTGAGATCCTTACAATGAAGCTGTATTCAAGATAAACTCGATGAACTAATTTTGGTGGATGGTGATGTTATGAACCAGAGCAGACCCCCCCCCCAATTAAAATATATTAAGAAGGTCGCCTGGACCCTAACTTTTTCTTATTTTAAAGGTAAATGTAAGGTGCTGTGGTCAGAAAACAGATTGTCTCACATACAACTCCTGCAACCAGGCAGAGAACTCCCAGCTTTTGGCTGTAACCGAGAGAGGGACAAAAAATAACATCCACCTCTTCAAAATCCCGACAGCAACAACAATATCCTGGTTCTGTGGGAGTTTGACTCCACCCATTCAGGCTGCTTTTATTGTTCCAACTCTTAAAAAAAAACCCAAGGCCTCACAAGCTGTTTAATTTCTTACACCCCCACCAGGAGGGTCTCAGGGCTCTCCGCTTCTTCCAGGAGCAAAGGCCTCAACTGTCCCTACCCACCACCACCCTCCTACACTTGGCTGAGCTCATCCGCACCCTCAACAACTTCAGTTTTAACTCCTCTCATTTTCTTCAGGTCAGAGGGGTGGTTATGGGTACCCACATGGGCCCCGGTTATGCCTGTCTCTTTGTGGGATATGTAAAACATTCTTTGTTTAAGTCCTAATCCAACCCCCAACCACAACTGTTCTATGATATATCAATGATATTATCGGTGCTGCTTCCCTCTCTCGTCCATAGTTGGAAAAGTTCATTGACTTTGCTTCCAATTTTCACTCCACTCTCACTGTCACCTGATCTATCTCTGACTCCTCCCTCCCCTTCCTTGATGTCTCTGTTTCGATTTCTGGGGATAGACTGGCCACTAATATCCACTACAAACCCACCAACTAGAACAGCTACCTAGACTATGCATACTCACACCCTGCTTCCTGTAAAGACTCCATTCCACTCTTCCAGTTCCTCCATCTCTGTCACATAGTTTCAATGGGGCCAAATTCAACAAAGAAGCCTACAAAATGCCCACCTTCTTCCTCAACCGAGGGTTCCCCAGCACCATTGTTGACAGGGCCCTCAACTGGGTCCACAACATCTCATGCACTTCTGCCCTTACCCACTCTTTTCCCTCCCACAACAGCAATAGGGTTACCTACCATCCCACCAGCATCCACATCCAGGAGATCATCAGATGCCATTTCTGCCACCCCCAGTGAGATGCCACCACCAGAAACATATTCCCCTCCTTTCCCTTGTCTCCCTTCCACAGGGCCCTTTCCCTCTGGGAATCCTGGTCCACTCCCGACACCACTCCCCAACAGCCCCACGGCACCTTCTCCTGCAACCGCCAAAGATGTAACACCTGCCCATTTACCTCCTCCCTCCTCAGTATCCAAGGGTCCAAACATACCTTCCAAGAGAAGCAACACTTCACCTGCACTTCCCACAGTCTAGTCAACTGCATTCACTGCTCACAAGGTGGTCTCCTCTACATTGGGGAAATGAAGCATAGACTGGGTGACTGGTTCTCAGAACATTTTTGTCTGCCTGCAAAAAAGACCCTGAGTTTCCAGTTGCCTGCCACTTTAACACACCGCCCTGTTCCCTGGCCAACATCTCTGTCTGAAGCTTGCTGCAGTGTTCCAGTGAAGCTCAGCGCAAGCTGGAAGAACAACACCTCATTTTCAGCTTAGAGACCCTGTAACTGTCAGGACTCCAATGTCAAGTTCAATAATTTAGGTCCTGAACTTTCCCATGCCCGAACCCCTGACCCCACACACCAGGCCTTAGTTAACACATAGTTATCACCATTACATTCTATGTATCGTTAGCCACTAACAATCTCCATTAACAGCTATTCACCCTCCTAGTCAGATTGTTATCCACTCCTAGGTCTGTCCAACTTTTCTCCTTTCTCTTTGGGCTCTGTTTCCACCTGTCATTTACTCCTTACCCCCTCTCACAATCCTGTCTTCTGCATTTAAACCAACATTTTCCTAGCTACCATCAGTTCTGAGGAAGGGTCCCCGGACCTGAAACGTTAACTCTGATTTCGCTTCACAGATGCTGCCAGACCTGCTGAGCTTTTCCAGCAATATCTGGTTTTGTTTCAGTACCTCTTGTTCAATCTCTCTTTCTAAAACAACAACAGGACAAAATAATCTCTTAAAGCCATAGTATTGTCACAGCGAAAAGGATGAATTTGATGGGTTTTTTTCAATGTTGTGATTGTGGTTTAAACTACCCTTTAGAATAATTTAACGGAATAAAATATGACACATTGAATTAATTTGAATTAGTAGTGTTCATTTCATATTTTAAAATGACAGCCACTTGCACCACCCCAGCGGTATACATTTTACACTCGTTGTTGAATTTAACCATTGCTTTTAGAAGAATTTTTTGAGTTTTCAAAAGTTGACTTAGGTAATATGATCTATGCAAATTATCATCGAGACATTTTGAAAGTATCAAATGTAATTTGAAGTACATATCAGCATGTTTTTGTCAAATAATAAAAATGGCCCTGGTTCAGTTCGAATGGTTTCAGTTTTGCTCAGCTAGAAACCTGTGGCTTACATCTTAGTTTATGTATTCATTCTGTTAAGCACAGAAATTGGGCCTCGTTGATGTACCTAAAGCACCGTTAACAGACAATGAGTGGCAACTGGTGAAAAAGCGATCAATACAACAGGGAGATTCAGCGCAGCCTTGTGCCATATGCAGAGAAGAATTTGGTATGCAGGAACAGGTGGGTGCTTTGCAAAAAAGCATCAAATACTTTCACTTTACTGGAGATGCTCACCACTGACTTACAATGAAACTAAGTAAATTAATTCTATTCTATTTGGAAACAGTAATTGTGATACCAGTGTAAAGCATCAACAAGTTAAAACAGTAGTGCAGTACAGGCTAAGCACATTCAATGCCATATCCCCTCACCTCCCCTCCCAAAATAACTTTATTGTAGTGAAACTATAATTCTTTTTACTCAAATTTACATTGTTCAGTAACATCCTGCTAATCCAATAAAAGTTATGGGATGGATGACCATCGCAAACTCGGCTCTCACAGCCAGAGTATGAAACACAGGAACGCTGCAATGATATGTAGGCATGTTAAGTAAGTGGTCAACAAAATAGAAGGTGAATTACAATGTGGGGGAGTGTGAAGTTATTTACTTTTGTCATAGGAAAAGCAGAATGTTTTGAAAAGGATGAAACTGAAGTTTTGATGTTCAAATAGACTTGGGTGTACTGATACAAGAAATGCAGCAAGTCAGGGTGGAAGCACAGCAAGCAATTAGGAAAGTAAATTGCATGTTGGGCTGCATTGCAAAGGGGATTTGAGTAGAAAAGATAAGGAAAATTTACAATGGCATACAGTAAGATGATACCTGGAATATTGTATGCAGTTTTGATCTTTATTTCTGGGATAGGATATATTTGCATTGGAGGTAACAGTGAAGATTCATAAAAGTGGTCCCTAGGATGAGCGGGTTTGTTCTGTGGTAAAAGGCTGAGTAAACCCATCCTATATGTTCAGAAAAATGGGAGGCACTCTCATTCAAACAGATCAGATTCTGAAGGGGCTTGACAGGGTAAACACTGAGACATTGGAGTGAAAATTACAGAGTATAGAGTCATTGAATCATAGAGATGTATGGCACCAAAACAGACCCTTCAGTCCAGCTTGACCATGTCAACCAGGTATCCTAAATTAAGCTAGTCCCATTTGGCAGCATTTGGGCCATATCCCTGTAAACCCTTTCCATTCATGTACTTTTTCAGATGCTTTTAAAATGTTGTAATTTTACCAGCCTCCATCACTTTCTGTTTCAGAGATAGTAGGAACTGCAGATGCTGGAGAATCTGAGAAAGCAAGGTGTAGAGCTGGATGAACACAGCAGGCCAAGCCGCATCAGAGGAGCAGGAAAGCTGATGTTTCGGGCCTAGACCCTTCTTCAGAAATGGCATTTC